GAAGCTGCTGTTGATTGAGGCAAGAGCACGGAGTTCTTGGAGGGCACTGACATGGTGCCTGTGGCGGCGAAGGCTGTTGTACGTATTGAGGGATAGAGGACGGGTAGCATAGGCAGGGGAAGAACAGGTTAAAACAGGGACAAAGGACTGGACAGTTGATTCCTAAACACCCAAGTGGAAAAAGTGCTTCTGCATGATGCAGTAAACAGAGAATGGCAAGCAAAGTCTTCATTCTGAAATTTCAGTGTTGTTATAAAATTAACTCGCGTCAGAAGATAAAAAGAATATTTTTAAAGTAACGATGCAACTATATCAATTTATTGAACAATGATTGTAAAATTCGTATACCAAACTCTTATCCGATTAACTCTTTTCTTTTAGTAAACCTGAAGTGCTCATAAAATTGTTAACGAAAAAAGCCGAAAATATTTTAGACAAAAAATATTATGGAAACAAAAAAGTTAAAAGCAGTTTTGGAGATGAAGCTCAGAAATTGTAAATGGTAAACCGCTCAATTAATAAAAAATCTCTTATATTTTCAAGAGAAACGAGATATTGGAAAAAGTACTGAATTTTTTGCTGGATGGTTCTGCTGGGTAGTGATATTAAACGAATTAGGCACAGTTTTTGTTTTTGGCATCGGAGCAAAACAACTTTCCAGTCTTTAATTAGGTTATTTATGCCAATTAGGTGCTCATCAAAAAATTATTTCGTTTTGTCGGCTTTCTCTTTTCTTCTTCTACACTTTTTTCCAAGGTTTATTGGCTCATCAGATAGACTGTACTCTCAACTTAAGACAGTTAAAAGACCATAGTGTAAGCATAAAGATAAAGATAAACGACAAAGGTAAGAATAAAGGTAGTAATAACAATATTTATGACATTAATACTAAAAGTAATAATAAGTGATTTTTTATTTTGTCCCAACACAATACTTTTAACTTAACAATTCGTTTTTCCATGTGTCTATTTATTTTCTAATCTCATCATGCTTTTTTCTTTTTTTCTGCTGTAGAACCCTATGTATTTTAAGAAAGCAGCAATTTAACAAGAATATAGTGTTTTCTCAGCCGTTTTAAGCAAACGACTGCTTGTGAAATTTAAGTATGATGAAATTAAAGATAAAATAAAAGTGGTTAAGGGCCATGTTTTATACAACCACTAAATGAACTGTACTTGTTTCAGCAATTTTTTCCAAATTTTAATAAGAAATGTACGTAAGTGCGTACGTACAGTTTTCTTTTATTTTTTACTTGGTCAACCGATAAAGTGTCATATAGATGCGTAGGAAGAGGGGAGCGGAAGGAGATAGACGAAGAATTTCTGCCTCTTGATATGTCAGATGATAGAAATGCATTCAATGATGGCAAAAACATATACATACACTCCTTCTGGCGGTTTATCTGGTAGTTTACAAAAGCGTATGTCAAATTACTTTTCTAAATTTATGCAGTTTATGTCTAAACTGAAATTTATAGTGTGTGGTAACGTACATAAATTTCCTTTAAAGCGTTACGCCGCTGCAAAGAGTACCAAATACTTTAGGGCACAAACCATCCATATATTAAGAAGATGAGGTACCCTTCTAGAAAACGGTTTTGTACAGGTATGAAAATTAGGTGAAGATTTTGGTACTCAACTGATAAATAATATTTGAGTAAATTGTTATAGTACGACTCAAGTTTTGTAAGACTGGCCCAAAAACCTGTCCGTCTTGCTTCATATCTCTGCAACGTAAAAGTAAAAAGTTCAAAATTTTATCGAAAACTGCCTTCCATATCATAAATATGGACGTTATGGTGTAACCAATAACTCTTAAGTATCATAACTAGCAAGATTATCTGACATCTGTCGAACAACAATGACCGACAATCATTTATTGAGCACTTTGCAGAATCAAGCATTTCGTTGACGGGTGTCAAATAAACACAGTTTACTTTGGTGTTATTCATAGACAAGAAAAATCTCGTTCAAACGCCTCAAAAAAGGTCTCAGTTGGAGGGCCAAAAACGGATAACATGTAGTTGTAACAGTTGTAACATAGTTGTAACAGCCTCAAAAAATTATTAGGTCAGTTGGTCACGTTCTCCATGAAGTAGGACTAAAAAAGTCAAATTCAAAACAAATTCTGCTGATCAATTCCCGTAATTCACTTTCATTTAATTTTCTATTTGTTCCAATATTATGAACCAAAACATTTCCGCTACCTGTCTTCGACAAATCCAGCTTTCTTTTGGAGCCATGTATTTTAAAGAAAAAAACAAGAATCACATCTCTGTTATTCAGTTTCCCATAAAAGATATAAAAGAATTACAAAATTTTAGCGGTTTTTTTCTGATCGGATAAAATTGGTAGGGCACTAAAAAACTGTTTTAGTTGACCAAAACGGTAAACGATGACTCTCTTAGGCACTGCAGTTACGCTCCTAATTGCGCCCTTTTCTCAACCACTTTTATATTAATGCATGTTTTGTTTATTACGGCGTGCGAACATAAATATCTTATAGTTTTATTGTTTGTTTTCCATAGAAATGAAGCAAAGTAGGACGTCGCTTCCCGTAATTTGCGCGGAATATAGGAATAATTGTTTTTTTTTCTGTTTATCGTTGTATCTACGTTGAACTTGTGGGGTTAGAAATGTCCTAAACCAGCTGCAAGTACTCACCGGAAAACATGCTCGTATGTTAAGAATTAAAGTCCTGCAAAAATTCAAAGAACTGGTTTGATATTTGTTGCTGCTTCAGTTTGAACCAGAACATTATTCGTAGAGGTACGAAAACGTTTCGTCAGCTGAGGATTTTCTGTACTCTGTGCTTATCATTGTGCCGTAATTTGTTACACCGTAGAAGCATTATCCTGTAATTTTAGTATGTTATGCGAGAATCATCTTTGCGGCGTGTATTTCATAGAAAAAATTTGAAATATTTCATTTTTTAATGTCTTGATTTTTTGCTTTGATTCTAGTTTTTTACTCATCTTGTGAATATAATATAGCAGTGGCCTTCTAAATCTGTAGAAAGTAATCCTCCAAAAGGGAATATTTTTACAAATTTATTATGAAGTGACAAAATTGAAGTTCCAAGAATATGACTACGTTGAGCAAAAATAGCGCTTTTCTGCGCACATTAGTAATGATTGACTTTGCTGCTGTAGTAGTTTTAGAGCATACTCTTTTTGATTTCGAAGTCGAGAACCAAGTCATAAAACAACTAGCTAAGCTTAAAAGAATCTGACTTATCAATTTAAAAAGTATGTGAATTGGTAATTCAATTACCCTGCCTACACGAGTTTATCATAGCACAGACATATGAATGCTCTGAGGAGTTCAAAAGGTGTCAGGAAAATTTTGAATTCGTTAACTGGAACTTCACTGATTTGGCAAAAACGTTTTAGGAGTTTTTTAATTGAAAAAATTACATAAAGCAGATGTCTGTGTATTTAGTGAAGCAATTTTTCAATGACAACTGTTGAGAACGATGACTCAGTGACGACGACGAAGACGCCTAGCACAACGTGTGAGCAAACAAAGTTGAAATACGAAAAATAGACAAGGAACGAAGCAAGTGCAAATTAAGGCAGCTAAAGGGATTTTAAAATCTTGTTTGCAACATAGTCAAAAAATTTATTTTAAATTCCAATAAGAAAACAAAAGAAAATGAGGAATATATTTTGTGAACTGAGGGTTAAAATTCTGATCTCATGAAAATCAACGCACTAAGGGCAAACTTTCAATGTGTCCTAGGTGCAAGTGTATTGATTATACAGTCTCGAAGATGAAGAACACTTGAACGCGTTAGTGAATGCATTTGAGTTGAAGCTACCTGTGTTAATTCTGAAATCAGATTATGCTTTTAAGAAACTGGACACTTTTTGAAATTTAACAGATCTTTGAGGAAGGTAAAATGTAAAAAGTATGTCTGGTCCGAATCTCTGTTGCTTTGATTAAAGATAACAACACTAACATTGCCCGGTATGATGAATTGGTTTGCTGGCCATCTGGACTGCAGTATAACTGAAAATTGAGATTAACTTTCATTGCTTTTCACAAAAAAATTACTTTAATTTACTCATCAAAGAAAACCTACGCAATCAAAAGAGCATTTAATTTTAAAAACAATTTAATAATTATATACAGTGGAGAACGACAGGAATAACTGTTGTATGGTGTCATAGCTCTGAAACGCTGGCAACCTGGCCTCTTCTCCAATCCGATTTTGGTTCCGCCACAGCGAGTAGCTGTTTACAGCAGAATTAATAGCGTCTGAGAGATACACGGCATGGATCATATCATCCTTTAACTAGAACTTTCATTCCTGTTCAAACTCAAAAACAGTGTTATAAAGCGAAACTTCAGGAACAGTGCTTGAAGCGTACGGAAAAAAAGAATCTCTACAAAAATTGTTATTTATTCCTCCAAATACTCCTCAGACTACGACTCTGGAAGCTAATTTTTAAAATATACTGCATTTCTAACTAATATTTTGAGGTGTGTTGTAAGAATATTAGCACTCTTTTACTTCGGCCACCTAAGAAGAAGTAGATAAATGTAAAGGGCTTCAGAAATTTGCTTTATTGCGGCTGTAAACTGCTGTAGTCTCTTTAAAATGGCCCTCTTCCCGCCCAGCTTTAGAGATCTGTTTCAACGCATCTTATCTGCTGTACCATTCTTCGAAATCATTTCGACAAACTTCGTTAAGTTTATGGAACATCTTCACGATTGGAGCACGAGCATACGTTCCACTTAATAACTACGGAAGAAAAAACTTTAGGATTGTAAAAACTATCTTTTAGTCTTTAAATAGTATATATTCTTTATCAAAAGTTTATCAGAAGATACTTGTACTGATGAAAGTTCTTTTGTGATGCGCACAGAAATAAGAGCACACAACATCTTTGTGCATTTGCTTTCCGTTTCATTTTTTTTCTCCAGGCATAAGAGAACTGATGAACGACTGAGGAGACTTCAACTTGCAATGTACATGTTTCCACTGCTCAAGACCAAGCTACGAAGAAGCTACAGCCCAATGCTCCTCATATTACAAACTATCTAATTTACTAATCTTACTGAGCTTCCGGTTCCCTTTTCCAGCAGCACTGATAAATACCTGAAAATTAAGACCTGGAAGGAGCTCCCAGCCAAGGTAAATATGACAGCAGCTGACAATGTTTTTTACTGTATTGTCACTCTCTTGTTAACCGACCAACGTCTCTTCTAAAGCGCAACGCAGTTTGGAAGAGAACGGGAGACTTCTAACCGTTTTATGTGCAGAATTTAAACGACCAGAAATTGGTCAAACTTAAAGTTTGATATGTTTGGTTTGGCTGAACAGTGTTCCCGGCCACCTTTTGCTGCTGAAAACGACGCGCCATGGGGGTTGAGAATAAAGAGTTAGTTCTCTGTGAATCTCCAGCATCAGCGTTGGGCCAAAAGTTTCTTCTCTTTTTCTACGACCATTTCTACTTTTTTCAACTTACATTTAAGTTTGATACCTACACCGATACAAAGTTACAAATTTGTAATGAGTCTGCTGTCAAAGTGACGGCGGTAAAATGGATTTCAGTGTTTGTCACCAGTGATCAAAAATTCAATTTTTAAGAAGCATATTAACAATCGCTCCAAAGATCAAAGAGATTTCAGCGTTTTTACAAAGAAAAAGATTTTGTGAGTGTGACGCATTCTCAGTTTGGCTCACCGTCCCCGGTGGGTTGGCAACTAACTTTTCCCCCTATAGATTGTCTTATTGCAATCGTCATCATATTTCGTGGTTGTCGATAGAGCGAAAGATTTATGCACAGCTATGAGTGGAAATAATACATCTAGAATGATGGCAAGTTTCTTTTAATTAGGAGTTCTAAGAAGAGCTTTGCCTTAACGTGCGACACAAAAGAGAATCAAGAAGACAAACCGAGAATAAGAAGGAGATTAGAATTTTGTTCGAACAGAGATAGTAAAGCCTTTGTTTTTGAAGAAATTCTTTTGAGTGGGCAAAAATAAAAACTTTACCAACTAATTCGCCTATATAGAAATGTATTGGTATTAATTTTAGATTTTCTTGACTACAGCAAATTACTTAAGCCTTCGCTTTCTTTAGGCTCAATTGCTCAGAAATCATTAAATTTGGGTTTTGGAAAAATAAAAATAACTTCACTTTTTTCATACCTGAGATGAAGAGAATAAAAAAGATTGTGATCGTACCTGTGCAGGAAAAAGTAATGTTGAAGATCCCTGAATAAGTAAAAATGGCTCTTTAATGCATTCTAAAGCTTTATTCATTAACGTTGAACTTTCTGGCGCATCCCACATTACTTTCGCTAGAACTTGAAAGAATACGACACCAAGAGTACCGTAAACCGTGTAGAAAGGAGCATCGTCAGGCAGTGAAATAGGGTATTGAAGAAAAGGAAGTGGTACCACTAAAAACAAAAGCTCACCATCTACAATTTGTAAAGAAAACTTGAGTAATAACTGTGTAGAGACTAGAACTAAAGTTACAAAATACCGAATGAATTTTCGTAGGAATCGTAGGTGACGTAGGGACTTAAAATATTGTATCGAATGCTATCGTCATTGCCCAAACGGCTACCAATTTGGGAAATCTCACGCAGCCGTTGCCTACTTAACGCTGTTACTATGCTTGTAAAATAGTCATTTGGAACCAGCTCGTACTGTAAATTTGTCAAAAATTTTCAGGTTAGACTTATGTTATTTTTGGATATTCTAAATTGCTAATAAAAATTAGCAATTGTTTGACGCCGCGAGCAAAGAAAATTTTTCGAAATAGTGATAAATAATATTTTTGAAGACTTAGCTCAATTAAACAGTTTACTCAATTTTCACATAAATTTTTGATTTAAATAAGTATAATCGAAAGTTTTTATAACAACAAAAGCATACGTTTCCGTAAATTTGTACAACAATATCTTCGTTGAGCAGACGTTGCGGAAAGCCAATTTTGAGCGATGCGTTTCTTATTTTTTCCCGAACTGACGCCGGAAACTTGCTGTGCTCGGTCACAAAGAAATCTTTCATAAAGCTTAGCGAAGTATGCACCTGAATCGTCATTATACTAAACACTAGCAAAAAAGCTATAGCAAGAACTGCAATTTACCTCATTCAGTCTAGCGCTTTGATGTGCTCCAATATACAAATTTGCTGTAGCATCTAATGCGGCTAGTTGTTCGACGCATTCTCTCCAACTGCAATCAAAGTGATTCCTTTTTCCTCTACATAAAATTAAAGCAGTTCTTTTTATTTTGACACGTTAACAACAAAGCTCAGTTTTTACTCATCTTAAAGCTCATGCGAACTTTAAAAACTACAAAGTCTGCATTCTTCACCACTCTCAACACCTTTCATTTATTACAGTAAACTAGACTTTTACATCTGAGTACACTGTAAGTCTTACTGTGCACTGCATTAGACCTAAAACCTGATGCAGTTTTTACCTGCAAAACTGCTGTTTAGATGCGGTAATGGCATCTTTTAGGCATTTTTACTTAAAAATTTCACCGTTATGATCATTTATTTATTGAATCTTAATTATGATTACTAACTGCAAAGGGTTGGTTCTCAATGCACCATTGTACAAATATCCGCGCAAGTTAAGTGCTGTCATGAAGGTCAGGTAATTTGCTAGAGCTCTTCGAGGAGTACGAGCAACAATCGCTGCCAACTCTCTGAAATATGCTTTAGAAAAATGAGGTCTTGACTTTACTACAAATTTTAAAATTAATGACTTCTTAATAAAGTGTTATTTAAATTGCCGAATTGTCAGCAAAATTATTACATTTACTAACCTAAAAGCTTCAACACTGTCTATAAGAATTAAGTCTGTATCATTCCACTGAAGATTTGTAGAAAATTTTGCATTAAGATAAGCTTCCCAGTTAATCTGAAAAGCCATTATAATATTAGTGATTACTAGTCTGACAGTGGTTACAGTTCTTTTCATTCTATAATTTTCTGAATTCTTTGCCTTCAACTTCAAAAGAAATTTTTGCTTAATTCTGCTTGAAAAAAGAATTCCAGATTTCCTACAATATGACTGCTCTAATTCCTGATTTTGAGAAACAGAAATTTGGAATGAACTCATTCTCTCAAATTTCAAAAATATCTAAGTGTTAAAGCAGAAAAGCACCAAACTGGCATAGTTTGAAACTTTCAGTAATAAAAAACTGTTTTTGAAAACTTTCTTCTTATTATACCTCTTTTTTAATACATTTGAAAAGCAAAAGCCGAAGTGGTAAAAACTGAACGGAGAAACAGGGAAAAAATAAAATAGATACATATTAGAGCACCAAATTCAGAAATTCAAAAAGTTGAGAGGACATTAGTTTTAAAAATTTGAACTGACGTTTGAACAATTTTCAACAAATGAACAGGTTTTAAGTATCCAATAGGTGAGCTAAGATGCGGAGCACCAAAAAAAAAAATTTTTTTTTGGCGTTTTTACAGAAAAAACGTTTCGCAGATACCGTGGAATTGGTTAGTTCACTAATTAACTGTGCTTCTTTAGTGGGCTGAGCAACAGACTGCACTCTCTCTGCAGATCGCTGGCTAAAGTCGTAGTAAAAAAGTTCGAAGTCCAAAGAGACTCCTCGTAAAGGAAAAATGATTTGGTTGACAAAAGAATAAAGTTTTTTGGGAACTAGAAACGAAGTGTAACATAGAATTTTCAATAAAATCTAAAAATTGTCTTTCTTTTTATTGAAATATTAATGCATAAGCTTAAGTGGCTCTTCTTCTGCGCGCATTATTGCATCATCACCCTACTTTCTAGACAGAAATTAAAAATTCACCTGTAATAATGATAAAACCGTTGAATTAGTTGTTAATAAAGTTGGTTGCCTGTAACTAATTTTAACGATTTTATTTTTTTAAACAACTTTTTTTATCTTCTACACTTTACTTTTCTAGCAGTCAATTGCAACTACAATTGTTTTACACTTATGCAAGAGATTCTGCTGAGACTTCTAGTTGAAAAAAGTTCAAAAAACTTTACCGTAGTTTTGAATGCAGCAGGTGCTTGCTTATAGATGTGTATAACTCTTATACATTATTAATATACTTGCAATAGAACGATCTGCAGACAGAGAGATAGTTTAGTCAACTAACAACGTGCATCCAGTTAGAGGACCAGTACAACTTTCTTCCTGCGATAGTGTTCTTTTATTTCAAAATTTAGACCTAATTAAACAAAAAGATAACACGAAATTGGCCACTAATCTGGGACACTGGAAGGAAAAGAAATTTTCCTGCTACTGAAAGAGCAGCATAGAACTTTTTCTGCGTCATTGCTTTTATGTAAGTTGTGCTCTTTCGTATCCATCAAATCATCCCATATAATAGAGAATCACACCTTACATTTTCACTGCTCTGTTCGCTCATTTTTTATCTGTTCTGATGGTATTATTTGAAAAATAAGTTCTAAAGATAAGCCTAACCCAAAGTTTGTTTGTTATCGTATTGGTCTGACATTCAGGTAGTGCAATGTCTTACCTCAGTCTACAAACACTACCGACTCATTTCAACACTTTTGCTATGTTCGAACTTTTCTAGCTACACCGCCTCCACCGCGTTCATACTCATCAAAATCTAAACACTTTTTTCTCTGTTAAATTTGTTTTTCACGCCTAAATGTTATAAGGAAAACGGTCACTGTGATGCAAATTGTATTACCCTCAAAGCTCTTTAAAACATTATTTTGAAATTACATGTTTTCTTGCCCATCTATGCAAAGTACGAAAGAGTGAAGCTGAGAACACTTTTTTATTATTAAAACAAGCTCTTTAAAAAAAAAAAAACACTCCTTCTGCGATCATACCTGTGGTACACTTATCATTAGCTGTGACAGCTGTGTTACTGTAACGCTTGCAGTATTTGAATTGGAGTAAGTCTAAAAATAAACACTAATATGTGTTACATTTGTTGAAATTCTGGTGCGAAGACTCAAAAAATAGAAGAATTACACCGAGCGATACATTTTATGTCCACTACCTTGTCAAGTTCCACAATAAGTTCAGCGACTTCATCGATAAGAATTTCTTTGTTTGCTACATCACTGCCAAAAATCTGGTTGTACACGGGATTCAGCAACTGCTGTTTTATGGTAATAATCAATAATGGTTCGTATTCAGAAAGCCCTGGCTGTGCAAAAGACCGAGTCGTGGCTTTTGCTTTTGACAGCAGTTCATCAAGGTTTGGTGTCTTCAGCTAAAACTGACTGCTACAACAACGTTGTAAAACTACAATATATGAAGTAATACAGTCATTACATGACCGGGCTCCGTATAAAATTTGAAACTGGTAGAACACAGAAAAAAAAGTTACAAGATCTAGAACTGCTAACCGATAATATAATTGTTATTCTATCAGCGGGATGTACGTCTCTATCAGAATTTATCAAGTTTGCTGAGCCAGCTAACCAATCCAACATGCCAGAATGGCGTTCAAATCTAAAACAAAAACTGCATTCATGAGGACTCTATTAAAGGTTTAACAGATATAACTAAACAGGTTTAACCGTTGTGTCTATTGCCAGCTTATAAGGTGAGTCGCCAATTAAAATACTATATGATAAATAGCTATAGGTAAGAAGAGAAACAAACTGACGAGTAGAAATCAGAGTTAAAACTGGTACATTCACTAAATATTGGTCCACACGGAAAGTTCCTAATTGCAGCAATAAAAGGCAATGGCCCGATTTCCTCACGACTCCTGGCATCCATACAACTGTCAAAAAGCTGTCTCACTAGCAGCAATGTCCTGGCTGACTCGTTCATCGCAGATCGTGCCGTTACAACTCCTAGAAACGCATCCAATATTTTTTTTTAAAAAGTAAAAACTTTCGCGTCATTATTTCATACTATCTCATCTCCTAAATATATATATATATATATATATAT